TTGCATACAAGGGTAAAGAATTTGAGCTGCACTCAGCACCTCCGTCTCACTACGTCCCATAATCTGCCCACACCTGTACGGAAAGGATTCATACTTTCTTTCATTCGGATCCATTGTCATCGCATAACTACATGAAACAAAGCATTGGGGAATTAATTACCTCAAGATTCGACGGAGGTTGTTTCTGCGTGCAATGTCCATTACAAGAGGCCAGTACTTATTGCCCCTACCATTAATTTCGTCTGACGCCCAAAGAAAATCTACTTTGTCTTTGTTCATCCCACCGGCTTGCCAAATCTCCTTGAAGTATTCTCCAACCACTTTGATTCTCTCCAAGTCACCTCCCAACTTGTTGTTCAATTGAGCAAACCAATCCGCAATCCAGATTTTCACTTGGCAACCAGCTGAAGTCAGTTTGTTCACATTTGTGACCTTCATCACTCCCTGTTAAGGAAATATCAACGTGAAACAAGTTACAAGAACATTCTCATGCAAAAAGTACACATAATTTACTCAACAGCAGAAAGACTTCTCAGTTTGTGCCAGTATCTTCTATCTCTTTGAAACTTATATATACAAGTACACTCATCTGTCCTGTTGAACTATCTTATCCTTCAAATTCTAAGATTCTTCAAATTAATTTCATCCCGAGAGGATTACAGATAGAGAGAACGGATACTGACCTGGGCAATGTGCATCCTTCCTGATGGTTCAAAACCATCGTAGCAGATCGGAGCAGGCTTCTTGGCTATCAGATTCTTTAGCTCATCCTCTTGGATGCATTCCTCGCCAATACTCCTCACAATCTGGTATTTCTCCACGACCTCCTCGCTCATCCTGAATTAATTTAATGCAAATCAGCCAAAACAGATCCAAAATACAATAGCACAACTCACAAACCTATTCGATAACAAAAAATGGAGAGCTTGAACTAAAGTCGGTGCCTTGTTTTTCTGAGTTGTCTATCTAAAATCACCGGAGGAAAATCTTAAATAATTACAGCAAGAAAATCTCTTCAAATTTCAAATAGGACTCACAGAAGAAATGAAATCAGATGAGAAAACAAACATATAACCGTCTTAAGTTATTCATCTTCTCGGACACTAAGCAACAAACCATGAAAGAACTTGACTAGGAGATACAGAAGAAACCACTACAAGATTACTCACTGTAATCCGGCAGCTGAAGAAGATGCTGAGCTAGGTGCCTTGACGGAAAGAGCGTCCATCTCCGTGGATGGAGCCGTTGGAATAACCCTGGCAGAGAAATAAAAAAATCCAGTAGATACACCCAAATTTTGGTTTAGAAAGTGTCAAAGGTAAGAGAAGTTTCTGAAAAATTGACATCCAAGTATGCTTCTTGCTCTGTAATTTTTTTACCTGGTGATTTTGTAACCCTACAATAACACATGATAAACCAAAAAGAAGGCAGATAAATTCAGAGGCTGCGTGGTGCTATAAGTAATTGATGAAACTTGAAACATGGGTGTAAAGAATTTTTTCTTACCTTGACCTGTTTGAGCAGATTCTTGGCACGATTGTTGGTTTTGAAATGATCACGGACAGGCTGCAATATGGGTTAAAAAAAAGATTGATATTGTTCAAAAACTCAAAATAAAGACCTGAAGGAGATAACTTTCTACGTTTGACGATGATTCAGTTGAATCCAAACAAAAGTGTAACATTTAGCTCAAACGTGTGCTACTATTATAACTGTATTGTTGCAACAAAAGAAAATACTCACTTGCAGTATCTTATTTAATGCTTTCGACAGAGCGTCCTTCAGATCCTTAGGGTGCAACTCGCCGCTCTCATAGTCGGCGGTAATGTCTTCAAAGCTTTTGAAGGTCCTGACATTTGAAAGAATGTCATCTCAAAGGTTAGAAACTTACACTGCTTGGATAAACTGACAAAGATACTTAGATACATGTGTACTGAGAGAGACATATAATTGCCGCTAATAGTCCGAGACTTAACCCAGGAACCGAACATGAAACTCAAAGGTCTAGAAAATTTGGTAAAACTCACTTGTTACCGCCATACTTTTCATCTCGCTCAACTGTGAACTCACTGAACCAGGGCAAAATGATGTATTTGACGTACTCCAAGCAAGGGTTACCTTCCACAATATCCGGAGGGCAGTAAGCTTTCTTAATCTTCACATTGACTTCAGCCTGGAAGTGAAGATCATTAAACACCACTCAAAAACTATACAACTCCTCTCTGATTTTTAAACTTTAGTATGGAAACTAGCTACTGTACCTCCTCATCTTCCATGAAGATGGCAGATGTAGGATCACTCTTAGACATCTTTTTCTGTCCTTGTTGAAGACCAGGAAGCATATCTGCAATCCGTTATAATTAGAGATGATAAGAACACTTGAAAGGATACAGAGGAGAACAGAAATCAAACAGAAAATGTAGAACATACGGTGAGACAAGATGACGGGTTTGTTTCCCCTCTTAGTGTCATCACAATAGTCTCTTGCTAGCAGGTTTACTGTTTGCTGATCCATCCCAAGCTGGCAAATATCAGCCTGCAGAGGTTTGAGAAAACATTTCAACAGCCATCATAGAAAAGTCAAAAAGGTCGATGCACTTAATTATAGATGGATCCACAGACAACTAATCAGAGAATTTATGCAAAATACATATGAAAAGTACCTCGAGGAAGAAAGTATCCGCGCATTGCATACATACGTACAGAATGTGAGCTGCACATAGCTCCTCGGTCTCACTTTGACCCATAATAGGCATACACCTGATAGGACCGAGAAACATATTCAATGAAGGTCTCTCATCACCATTCACATAGCTGCGTAAATGAAACGTGGGTAATGGGTATACCGTTTTATCCGGGCGAGACTATTTCTGCACGCAATGTCCATCACAAGAGGCCAGTACTCAGCTCCCTTAGCATTTATTTCATCGGATGCCCATAGAAACTCTACATTCTCAATGTTCATCCCAGCCGCCTGGAATATCTCCTTGTAATATTCTCCAACCACCCTGATTTTCTTCAAATCACCTCCCAACTTGTTGTTCATGAATGCAAACCAATCTGCAATCCAAATTTTCACTCGGCAACCAGCAGAAGTCAATTTGTTCACATTCATGATCTTCATCAGTCCCTGCCAAGGTGATAACAGCAGAGTTAAAACACGCCAGCAGAAGCTTCTCACTTAGGAAACAAGCATATGATAAAAAGTTAACACACCTGAGCAATATGCATCCTTCCTGATGGTTCAAAACCGTCGTAGCAAACCGGAGCAGCCTTCTTAGCCAGAAGATCCCTCAGCTCATCATCACCTATGCATTGCTCGGCTACACTTCTAACTATGTTGTATCTTTTCTCGACCTCCTCGCTTATCCTGAACCAATAAAGCGCTGATATGATAAGCTAGCAAGTGCAAATGACAACTGGGAGATTCAAAGATCTACGTTATGTCCAAAATATGAGGACACAGATAAAAGACTATTCTTTATTTTCAAGTGCGCATGAAGAAGAACTGGGTAAATTCACAAATCAGTTTGTTGAAATATATAATTTAAGCTCAAGAAACGTGACATTATCCCTGAGTTCCTATCTAAAACATGCCGAAGAAACTAGACAAAGAAATCAATTACTGTAACACATTGGTTTCGTTCGTTCCTCGGAACGTGGGCAAGAGAAGATAGAGAGAGAGAGAGAGAGAGAGAGAGAGAGAGAAATCACGAGAAGAAACTTACTGTAATCCGGAGGTCAAAGAAGAAGGCTGAGTTGGTGCATTGGCGGAAAGAGTCTCCATCTCTGAAGATGGAGCTGTTTCTGAAAATCAAACACACAAAAATTGACTCAATTTTTTTTTTGCTTAGCCTCAAAACACACTCTCTATCTATTATTGCTTCCAAGCTCTGTTCTCACTGTTTGACTTCCTCACACACTTATCCTCATTGTCACAAACACAGAATCGTTTATAAAGTTCGTAGCTTTAGCATTAAATTCGATCTGGGCTTTTCGTTTTCTCAAGAATTTCAATCTGGGTTTTTAGCTCCTAAAATTCATGAGTCCTAAATACAAAATACCCCCCAAATATAAGCTAACAGATACACCAACTCTGGCCAAAGAAACGAAACGAATACATAATTTAATTGAATTGAATAGGAAGACAATTGAACTGACCTCTGTGGTTTGATTCTCGTAGGCGTTTGTGTTCACTCTGTGAAAATCCTGAAACCCTAAAGAAAGAAGAAACATGTACTTAAATAAAATAAAAAATAAATAAAGAAGAAACATGTAAGAACGTGAAGAAGGCTTTTGACTCGAAGAAGAAAGCATAACCGGATTGACCCGGTTCACTGAAATTCCCGGTTCTTTTGTGGCTCTATGGGTTTAAGACTTTTGGACCAAACAGTTTTCTAATCGCGGTTTAGTCGATCAAACCGGCAACTTCCTAACCAACCGCAACAAAATCCCATTGGAAGCAATGAAGAAGCACCATAGATTCATAGTTCTTGTTCTTGGGTACAAAGTCCTGTTTTTGAGTTGGTTGGTTTGGTTTCAAGAGATGTATTTATTTCAATAAAAAGATTTCAGAGTTTAAGTTTTGTAGCAAAGTTGATCTTTGACAGGGTTAGTTTAACAACAACTGAAATGTGTAATGTGTTTAAATGTTTGATTATGTTCTAGTCTCCTCTAAACTCCCACCAGAAAAATAAAATAAAAAAAGAAACAAAGGGACTAATCCCATAAAATAAACAAGAAAAAGCAAATCCTAGATATCTAATGAGAACTTAAATAAGAAGAAACCCAAAGACGATTTACAAATGTATTCCCTAGGGCTCTTTGCATTGAGCCAGACTATAGAGTGAAGAAGTGCCACTCTCTCTTGCTATGTTTCTCTCTTTTTCCCTTGTGATGAACCAATGTGGTAGAAGTAGGAGACACGATATGAACATTTTTTGTCCTTGCAGCTTTTGGATTGCGTCGTGTTGATGAGGAAAAAAAACCAGAGAAGTGAATTAAGACAACAAGCTCGGTCCATTTTCGACAGCAGTACGAGCTTGGCCGTGGTTATTGTGCCCGTGCCGTGTCATTTGAATGTCATGAGACACATTGGTTCTCTTTTTAGCATACGGAGCTCCTCTTGCTGCAAATTGTTTTTTTTTTCACAAATGCAGCTCATCAAACTATTCTCAAAAGACTAATAAAGGTTGAAAAAAAAAAAAAAAACCAAATGCTTTACCTGCAATGTGCTGTGCCCGAAGAATGTTTTGTCGTCGTTTCCACCATATCATAGCGCATGCAACGATCAAGAGGAATGTTAGACTAACACCGAACGCAATCCCGATCTTGGCTCCTGAAGATAGGTGAGGCCCGCACGCTGGAAGACCCGGGATCCCACATAGACCTGCATTATCCGTGAAGCTGCAAGAAGTAGAGAAAACAGTTGGTTACAACACTATTCATCACATGCCTTGTTTCTGTTTCATTATTCTTACTTGAAGCTTGCTCTGTGCAGCAACCTTCCACCTACAGCAGCTGGTACTTTTCCTGACAAAGAGTTTCCGTTGAGGTTCCTGCAAATATACAAATATAAGGTTTTGTATTGCTGAACCATATGATATATGAGCTCCATTGGCTACTGAAACTGGCATGGACCCGGACTTACAGAATCCGCAGGGATGTTAGCTCTCCTAATGTTTCAGGGATAGATCCATTGAAAGAATTGTAGGAGAGGTCCCTGTGAAAGAAGCATAAGGTTTTGAGTTTCAAGGTTTCAGAGTCGAATAGTTGTAACAGAGAAAGTACTCAGTTACTTACAATACTTGCAAGCTTGTAATGCTTCCAAGTGATGCAGGTATTCCTCCATGAATGTTGTTGTCACTCAAGTTTCTGAAACATGGATAAAGATATAAACAAGGAATGATCAAGAAGCTTTCACTGTGAGGGTTGCTTCCACAAATGCGAGAAGAGAAGCTAATGACACAACAACAAGAAAAATGGACTTTGTGACTTCATTAGATGAGCCATTTTACTCGGAGAAGATAACAAAATGGTGCGTTTATCATGTACACGTGTAAGAACATTTGCTGATTATGAGAACAATGTATTGGCTTACATGCTCTGAAGATGTTTTAGCTTTGATATGTCGTTTGGCAAAAAACCCTTCAGACCTTGGTTATCAAGATCACTGCATACAAAAAAGACGAAGTTTGTCTATTCAAAAAATCTGATGAAGACCAGAAACTCAGAGAAACATCCTCTTAACTCTAACTAATGAGATGCTTAAAGAAAAGAACAAGTTCCTGTATCTCTGATTTATGTTATAATGCAGCCTGTGTCATCAACAACTTTTCTGTATAATTCAACTACCACAACCTAAAATGGAACTATAGAGGCATTGATAGGAATTATAAAAGAATATAAGATTGATTTGAGTATATGCACAAAAGCAAGAGGAAGGAAGCTATTACAGTCCATCAATGAACCATTTACTGGTGTTCTTGTCAAGCTGACAATCAGCTCCGCTCCATGGATGTTGCGGAGGAACACATGGATCACCATTCCATCCAAACCTTGAAGGAAGCCCTAAAGATTTTCTCATTTTCTGTAACGCACCGACTGTAACAGAAAACAACAGAGCAAGATATAAGACGTTACATATACATTTATAATCCAATGATACATAGAGCAGACAACCTTACAGAGGTCAATACCTTCATCACGTAATGTTTTAAACTCAGCGGTTATGATTTCAAAGACCTCGATAGCATTAATAAGAGCATGAGCGTCTCCCTTGGGCTGTAGAACGATTGTCAAGGTTCTTCCACTCACAGTCACGGTTGTATTGAGAACAAGCGCTCTGTAATGGTTGCCACTCATCTTGATAATGTCAACATTTTCGAACAAAGTATCACCGTTTATCACAACATCAAACACTCTTTTCCCTTCAACAGTGACACTAGCATCGATCTCCGCGAAATGCAACCACACCGAATACTTTCTGTTTGGTTCCACATCCATGCTGTAAGTTAAATCTGGTTGTTCATCTGTACTGAATAACGCCGACTGATACAATGCTTGAGGATAGAAATTTGGAGAGACAGAAGCCTGGCTAATGCGTTTCCCTGTTGATCTTGCAGAATCAGCACCTTTACCAAAAGATCTCACTCGATTCCAAAACCTATCACCACCCCAACGATCTGCATTGTAATCTTCACCAAACTTCTTCTCCCCAGTACCACAGTTCAACCTCGTGGCTGTTCTTAGAACCACTCCTTGTCCCCAGTCTTTACCGAAGTTATAAGCGTTATCATCGACCTGGAGGATTTCGATAGAGAGGATCGCAGGATCTCCATGGCCAGTACTGTGGAAACAGATCGTAGACGTCCCTTCCAAGAGAAATACGAGAGCTTCAGCGAATACTTGGTCATCATTGCTACTCCAGCCAGATTTAAGAGAAGAAATCTGAGTGCCTTCGATGGATATATCGAAGAGAGGCTCTTTGTCTACATTAGGCGCGTTGATCAGACCAAGGAAGATCCTTACAGAGTAATGTCCCTTTGGCACTCGGACGATGTTGTAGCAGTTGTTCGGACCCTCGGAGATTGGGAAGTAACGAAGTGTGTTCAATGGTGGAGATATGTAGCTAGGTGATATTGTCGCATTTGCAGGTATGCCTCCTGTATATGCGAAGTCTTTGTACCAAAGTGCATATGATGGTGAGGTTCTAATGTTTCTTCGAGCTCCGCAGCTGATTCGCAGCGCGTATGGTGCTGAAAATTTGCAAGAATCATCAATACACGAGCTACTTCTGTACTAATATTGACTGTAAGAACAACAAACTATCTAGTGATGTATGAGAAACATATTCAAACGAAACTCTTTTGATGGAACATTTCGACTAACTCTGGCTTAGAAACAGAGCAATCTAAGAAAATCGTAGGAGTACACGCCAAAATCACGCAGATCAATATCATAATTCCAGAAATAGCAACTACTACTTATCTTCAGCTATTATTCCGGGGAATCCAGAAATTAAAAATTGGGTTCTATTTAAGAAGAAAAAATAACATTTCTCAATGCATTTCACAAAGTATTGATCGACAAAAGCGATGAAAACAAGGACTAGAGAACAAGACAAACACGGAATCCTAAGTGAAATGCAATTCAAGATTTCGAATCAGAAGAAACCATATTGCAACTTGGAGCTACAGAAAGAAAAAGATAAGTTCCTCTAAATCAAGTAAGGTGAAAGTCCAACATCTGGAAACGAACGAACCTGGTCGAGCCGAGGAAGAGGGAAGATCAAAAGAGAAAATGAGAAGACATGCGAGAATAAACTGAAGCATCTTTGATCTTTCAGAATCTTCAAATTATCTGTGCTCCTCTTCTATCTCTCTCTCTCTCTCTCTTTCTCTCACGAATCTCTCCAGTGTTTCATTTCTCCATTGGACGACAACTTTATTTTTTTGTTCGTTTGTTCGTTTTCCTTTTCTGTAGAGTGAGAGAAGGCGCGGAGGAGAGAGAGAGAGAGAGCAAGAGACGTGAGTGCAGGTAAAAAGCTCTGGTAGTAAATATTTAATTGAATTAAATTAGATTAAATGCTCCCACCTCCATTTTTTAATTTCTTTCTATGTTTTTTTTTTCTTCTGGATGAAGAATATAGAGAGCGCAATCAAGTGTTTTGATGCGCACCTAAGTTATCATAGGCGAAATATCATCTGACGGCTCATATAGTAATATGTGCTGTAGCAAACCAGTTTCGGTTTACTTAAATGTTTGTAACCCGAGTTTAACCGATGATTAGAGTTCACTCTCATTATTTAACTTTTAGTCAGAATGAAAGGATAGAAGTTACTATAGAGAATAAAAGGATAGATTAAGCAATCTATGGAGTTGGTGGAGGGAGTTAGTATTTTTTTAGTTGTTGTTAGTTAATTTATTAGACCAAATTAGCGGTTTTAATAACTAAATGCTAGGTTTAAAACGGTTTTGTTTGTAATAATACTAACTATTAAGGTGTTGGTGGACCGACAACCAAAAAGGCACGTGACGAACATTCCCGGTCTCGGGGTCATCGGAGTTAATCAGAAAGACAAAAAGAACACCCTCCATTTTAATCGGACGGCTGAGAACGCTCGTAGTCTACATAGTTTTGGGTAGTTTGACTTTTATTGATTTTGTTGACTTTATCACCTTGATTGATGCGCAATCATCGGGACAGCATTAAAAGCATTTCCCACTCTCGGCTCGTCGGACCAAAGAAGAAACTGTGACAATAAATCTTTCTGAAAAATCGTTATGATAATTGAAAACATTTCTAAATATATACAATCACCTTTGAGTTTTGTAATTTAGTCGAAATATTGTTCACCTTATATATTACCGAATACTATATAGTTTGTTTCTAGTAACTTGTTTGGTTATTTTAAAATCATAGCAATTTTAGTATAGATGGACTTATTCCCACTAATATAATTAGGTTAAAGTTTGTTAATTGTGTGATTGAGTTTTTTTTCCAGATGGTAAGGAAATAAGTCCATGTTCTACATCAGGGGAGCAATGAGCAATCAGAATTAGAGTAACAATTATAAAAAAAAAATCGAGAAATAAAGTTTTTTGTAATTATAAGAAAATCAAGTGTAAAGACAAACGAATGTTAAAAGAGCTTAACCAAGAACTAATGTTGATAGCGTTATTATGGAAACATTTTTGTTTTACGTACAAATTAAGCTGGAAACCCATGATTTGAATTGCTATATATAATGCATAATATTACCCAAACCTCGATTTAGGACGACCTTTCATAGAATGATACATCCAAGACATAATAACTTGTATGCAAACAAATGAACTTATGTGAACACCGTCAGATATAATCAAGACTAGCTAGTAGCATACCAGCATTCGATTTCTAACGACGTTATTAGCTTTAAAATGATCTTCATGAAGCTATCATATGTTTTCCATCTTTACGGACATCCTAAGCCCATAGTCACGAGATTTTCGGAAGTAAAACCACAATGCAACAGTGAACAAAAGCTCGAAACATCAGAAAACATATGGTTTTTGTTAATTAGTGATGTGGTATGTTGTTATATACCGTCGATATAACCTTTCAAATTGAATATCAAGAACCAATTTTTTATATAATAAAAATGTATACTCACATCGCAAATACATACTCACATTAATTGAGATAAAAATCAAAAGCTTCAAAAAAACATAAACATGTTAAGAACGATGACGGAAAGCTCGAGTAGATAAGAAGATTACTTATTATCTAGGTTTCGTCAATCAACAAAACTATTGTAACCATAATAAATACTAGTTGGGCTTGGGTTTACAAGTCCAATTTGCTAAAACGTAGTCGGTGAAGGCAAAAACAATTTTATGAGTGAGTGGGCATGAAAATTTTGGGCCTTACAAGTCAACGGCTAGCTTCTGTTTGGTCAATCTAAACCTATCAATCTTTCTTACATTTCTTTAGGTTTTTAAAAGTTAGCAATCTTTGAACACGATGTAGAAGAATCTCGATCCTCCTGTATACAAATATATATTCTTGTGCTGTAACTGTAAGTCTATGTTATATTAGTTTTGTATAGGAAATGCGTAAGATTCTGTTTGGTCGCGAGATCGAATAATCTTTTGATCTACGGGTAAAAGAGTCATGTGATGGCACTTCTGACGGCCCACGTGTCCCTCGCACTCGTTATCTTTTCCCTTTCCCTGTAGGGCCCAGTATGACTGCCCATATCGAGACATCTTCCCATGGTTTTGGACATTTGTGAATGTTAGAAAAAATTTGGGAGCGAAAATTTTTGTGTGCCCTTCTCCCAATTAAAGATGAGGGTTCTTATCAACTTATTAACAATTTCAATATGTGAAAACTAGAGATATTAGACATGTCTGTTTAGTCGTTTATGCACAATCTCATTTCAAAATTTCAGATGAGATAAGACATACAACTTCGTAGAAGTAAATTGATGAATTCTTAAATTTTTGTCTTTATTCTGTTAACCGAGTTAGTTTGATTTGAAAAGAATGGGTGAATGCATGAATTCTTGAAGTTGTCACAATTCATTATACAGAAGTAGGAAAGTGGGTATGAAGGCAGATAGATGATTATTATGGCTCTGGAAAAGTGAAAATTAGGTATTTTGAATTTGATGAAGCTTCAATAGTTACCATTTTGTGAGAAAATAAGAAAATATTGTTACCTTGTGATCAGCCTGCTTGACTGCTTGTGATATTTTCACGGATCTCGAGTCTTACTTTAGCCTATAGGTCCCATTTCATGACTCATCAACCTTATCTATATCTCCATCACATTCCACCTTCCACTTTTCTATTAACACACCCTCTCTCTCAGACATTGTCTTTTTGTCCTAAAATACCGTTTTCCAAACGTTTTAATATAATTAAGGTTAAAAAAACATTTTACTATAATTAAAATACTTCTCATATTCTGTGTAATTTACACACTACCATGAGTTGATTTTTTTTTTCTCTCGTACTCGATTTGTTATTCATAACTAAAATCTACATTAATTTCTGTTGAATTAAAATCATAGTAAAAATTTATAAATAATATAACCCTACAGTTAAAAAATACAAAATTAGGTGTGGTAGTTGAAAACAAACGAATAAATTTATGGATAAAAAATAACTATCAGTATAATTAAAAGTCACCAAACTTTTTAAAGGACATGGCCGGCAGTGAAAAAAAATACTAAACACTTTTATTATCTTACTATCAATCGAGATATTTTTGAGAAGGTGTCTATAAAAGTCATAAGCCACCACCAAAAGCGTTTCACTCTTCACATCCCTCTCTACAAAATAATAACTCAAGAGCAACCAAAAAGAGAAAAAGAAAGTGAAAATAAATAAATAAGAAGATGGTTCTGCTAGAGAAGCTTTGGGATGATGTGGTGGCCGGACCTCAACCAGACCGTGGTCTTGGCCGCCTCCGTAAGATCACCACCCAACCCATTAATATCAGAGGTATCATCTCTATCTGTGTACAAAACACTTACTAGATTAATTAGAAACATAACTAAATATTAATTAATTAGTGTGTTATGAAAATGGAAAATATATAGGAGATGGAAGCAACAAGGTGATGAATAGGTCGTTGACCATGCCGGCGGTCGTGAGCCCCGGAACTCCGACTACTCCGACCACTCCGACGACGCCACGTAAAGATAACGTGTGGAGGAGCGTATTTAACCCGGGAAGCAACCTCGCCACGAGAACCATCGGCTCCAACATCTTCGATAAACCCAACCACCCAAACTCTCCATCCGTTTACGACTGGTGAGCTCATTAAAAAAAAAAAATTATCTATGTTATCATATGATTATGACTTCTATCTTTAGGACTTGAAAGTTCGAAAAAAATAAAAATAAAAATAGTTAGGACTTCATCTTAGAAGTCATATTATAGATAAACAAGTCATGTGATCTGGTCAGCTTTTAGGAATTATGACTTTTGAAACGAGTTAGGGGACCGAACCGGATGAATCTCGTAAGGCTTAAGTTTATGATTTTTTTCTTTTTTAATATTTACAGAATATTTTGGTAATGAGTTATTTATGTGTCAGCGATGGTAACGAAGCTCAAAGGAAGGAACACGTGGCTCTGTGTTTAGTGGGCGCGTGGATAAAATGAATAGAAACAAAAAAAAAGATTATTATGTTTTACCAATTCATCAGCAACCTTCCTTTATTGTGCATATATATGGTATAATCATGAGCTCTAACTTCGTAGTAACCAAATATGGAAAAGCTATATTTTTACTATTCAGAATCGATGAGTTAAAAAGATCAGAAGTTGATGATTCACTAGTTGATCGCACGTGTCGCAGGTTGTACAGCGGTGAGTCAAGGAGTCAGCACCGTTAAAAGGCACAGAACAGAAGGAGTGATGTAAGAGATTGGTGTGTAGATCTTCCGCTACGTGTCTGTTTTACTTACTTTTACCACCTTTTCGTTTTTGTTATCAGAGTGTGGATAAAGTGACGGGGAGGTTTGCTTTTGTACATATAACTGTCTTCCACTTACGGAATGCGTTGCCACGTGTTTACTTCTGGTCTAGGGCTGTGTTTTGCATGTTATTTATTTTGTATCTCGAGTCGTGGTCGTGTAGTTGCAAGTGGCGGTTGAATCTTCACCATCTCGTTGGATTTTGACGGTGGGAATGCGTCTGCTTTTATGTTTTATTTTATGTTTATAAAATCTTGTTTTATATCATGTTGTTTTATCAATTTTACGTAATATACTCCACTATGTATAATAATCATCTAAATCACTTAAAATCTACAAGCTCTACTAGAAATCTCAAGAGAGAGACTTTTCCAATGTCCATATACCTAAACGAGAACAAAACTTTCTCCAGCTGATGATTGTTTCTATGATCGCCCAAGTCTTCACCTTTTATATATCGTTGTATTGGATATAGATTTCATATCTTGTGAATATCCTTTTCTTGTAACTATCTCTTACGAAACCTTGTACCTGTAATATACTTGTGTTAATCTCTTAATAAAGTAGTTAAGTTTAATTAATCTCCTATAATTGATACTGCAACAACCTAAGTTTTGGAGTCTTATACAAAAGCTTTTAAACCATGATCACGAGTCCATGACCGTACCAAGAGACTTGTTCAGCGACGTTCTTGGAGATCTTCCCGTTTGTCTATTGTAACTAAAGGTGTGTCCACATAAACTTTCAACTTTTGAGCTCCTGGCTTTAAAAGAATGTAGTAGACTTTATAGTTTAACATCAACGATGAAAATTGGAATGATAATATGAAAAATATGACAACTGCGTAGCTAAAGAGGTGATCCTTTTTATTGGATCTTGAGACTTTGAGTTTTTGATGAGGTGTCACTTTCATCGATAATGCATAAATTTTGTTTTGATTCATGTAGTAGTGATGTAATTTTTGTATTGTCCGTTTCTAAAAGGGTAAAAAATATTTGAATTTCAACATATCCAAAAACAAGTAAAATTATATTATTTGAATTCTCGAAAGACCCAAAACCAGAATTCATAGATAAAAGATATATTCGTGTATATAGATAAATTTTAATATAAAATATATAATGTTTAGGTTTTTATAGATGAATTATTAAAAAATACTTATACTATATGTTCCCCACTTAAAAAAATTAGAGATATGAAAACTGCAAAAACTTAGATAACAAAATCTAGTTCAAAAAAAAAAAAACTTAGATAACCGAATAAAATAAAATCAAAATTATATAAAATTATGCGTGCATGCATGTAACAAATAAAAAGAACAAAAACATATAATTATGTGAAAATACATTAAAATTTACTTTGATAATAAAAATAGAAAGAGTGTCTAATTCTATTTTTATTATATATTCAAATGAAATTAAAATAAGCAATAATTTTCACTTTCAGTTTTGTTTTGGTTCTGCATTATCGATTTTTTAAATATAAAAAATTCACAGTTTTTTAAAGATAATTTCCCGGCCCAGTCATGAGAAAAATAATATTTCTGGCTAAAAAACAAATTAAAAAAATAGTGATCGCATTTGGCGTATGCTTCTGAATTCGCGACGATTTTGCCTAAAAGTACAAAGATTTAACATAATCCAAACTCAAACCAAATATCGGCGACTTCGTTTCGTACTTTCGTTGCCACCGGATCCTATCCCACCTTCTCCCGATTGAGAGAAACCCTTCTCTTTCCGATCATGGATTTGTCGAAAGTTGTCAGCTTTTCCCGGAATTTCGCGGTCTTGGTCAAATCCGAAGGCCCTGTAAGCCCTTATCCCTCTCACCCAATTCGTATAATCAGATGATGTAATCTAATCTACTCATGATCGAGTAGTACAATTCTAAAGGTTCATACTTGGTTTGCTGATGGGTTTCTGTGTTTACTTAGGACCCCAAAGGATTGAAGATGAGGAAACATGCTTTTCATCAATACCAGTGAGCATAATCTGAAAAATCCCAATCCTGCAGTTTTTGTTTCTATCTTGGGAAATCAAATGTAGCTGAAAGTTTTTTGTGTGTCTGTGTTATTGAAGTTCTGGCAATACAACACTTTCAGCTTCTGGGATGTTGTTTCCAAGAAATATCTTGAGCGGTGAGGTCGGGGATAAGCTTATGTCTGAAGCTGGTCAGGACATGGCTCTGGTTTTGACTGTTGCATCTCTTGTAGAACCATTCTTAACGTTGGGCCATAGAACTAGTATCTCTCAGGTTAGATACAAATGCTCGAACTCGCTTTCAATGATACATGATTTTGATTGATGTGGTACTTCAATTTTGTGTCTTTTCTTATTGTAAAGGATCCAGTGAAGTTGATCCCTGGTGCTCGGATTGAGGTTATGGTGGAGGTATGAGGATAGTATTTATGAATAATGGTAAAATTGTTTGGAGTTTTCTGGGTTTGATTTAGATGCTTATTCTTTCCAGGGCAAGTTAAAGTCGGAGAAGGAAGATCCTTTTTGGGTTCCTGCGCAACTCCTTTCGCTGGTATGTGTGAAAGTTTTCTTCTTTATTTGTGCTTTTAGAAGTGACTCTTGATATTACCTTGTGGGTGATGATGATTTCTGAAGCCAGTGAATTGAGATTACTTCTAATAGCTCTTGAGATTGTATTGTAATGTTGTAGCTTCTATTTTTTTAAACTTCGGTGCTGATTTATCTAATATGTTACAAGGTTGATGTCCCTGTATCTTCTGCTGCACTCCAGTCTCTTATTGAAGCTTCTTTGGGTTCAAAAGATTCTGGATGGGATGTTGGTTGGTCTTTGGTCTCTGCTGATAATGGTTCTCAGCCTTCAGTGAATGTAAGTCAAATGCAAACCAGTAATGCTCTTTGATGGCTCATTATTTTTGCGAGCTCTGGTCATTTAAACTTCTGCCTGTAATTGCTTGAGTAAGTAGAATAGATTGATGCGTGTTTGTATTTTCTTCTCTGAAATGAAAAACACTTCTGTCTACTTCTGAGGCTCAGTTTTCTATATAACTCTTCCAGATTGAACATTACAGCAAGCCATTGATGCAACTTGATGAGCCACACGATGCTAAGTTTATGGCCAAGTCTGCCACTCGAATGGCTCTTCTAGGAGTCTCCTTAAGCTTATTGGTAATTATTCCTCCTCATTTCCTTCTTTCCGACCTATAAAATTCATCTTAATGTTACGGTACCTTGAACTTACACTTTATGTGTAACCATTTTGGACTCAGGGACAGCCAAACATAAATCTCGCTTCCACAAGTAGCAAGGGTGATACACTTGTAACACTTGGCTCTCCTTTTGGAATCCTTTCCCCTGTACACTTTTTTAACAGGTGAATATTGGCCAAAATAGCGTTGCTGCCTTTTAATCGATTAGAGATCATTCTGATTTCCATTCTCTCGATAGTGTCAGCATTTAACTCTGGGAATCTAAACTTGTTTGGAACAGCGTATCAACTGGTTCCATCGCGAACTTCTATCCTTCTGGATCGCTAAATAAGTCACTGATGATAGCTGATGTTCGATGTCTCCCTGGTGTGTACAATTCTCAGTAGCTCTTATATATATGCTTTATTTGATTCTTCTGAAGTAGCTAAACCTTGTTATGTTTCGGTTCAATATCTTTCAGGGATGGAAGGGGCCCCGGTGTTTGATAAGAATGAGCAGTTAATTGGCATTTTGATTAGACCAATAAGGCAAAAGAACAGTGGCGTTGAAATCCAGGTTTGTCAACGCCTACTTCATTTCATTTATGGTCGTTGAAGTTTTATTGTAATGTTTCATGCAAAACTGTAGCCTTCGGTAGCAGCTGGTGGTTCCGTGGGGAGCAATCACAACTGCTTGCAGCCGCTTGCTGCTTGAGGAACCATCTGATGGAGGAGAAGCAAGTCCCTGGGAGAGTGAAGTTTTAACGATAAAACCAGATGCTAGTATTCATGTACAAGTGGCTGCTGAGAAGGCGATGGAATCAATCTGTCTTATTACGGTCAATGATGGTGTCTGGGCATCCGGTGTTATTCTCAACGAACATGGTCTCATACTAACGAATGCTCACCTTCTTGAGCCGTGGAGGTTTGGAAAAGGTGGTGTATATGGTGAAGGAAACGACAATGGTTTAAGACCCCATGTCTTAGGAGCTGAGGAGTTTGCTTCCTCGAGAAGTAGATTTTGGGAACATGGGAGTCGAACATTGCCACCAAAAGCTCCAGCAGATCTTTATTCCTCTGTTGGAGAAAATGTCAAGAAATACAAACACAATTTCCTTCAGACTAGGCATGGAGACATACGTGTGCGATTGTATCATCAAGATTCTTGGACTTGGTGTCCTGCAAAAGTGGTTTATATCTGCAAGGAACAGTTGGATGTTGCCGTACTGCAGCTAGAGTATGTACCCGGGAAGCTCCAACCTATTACTGCCAATTTTTCTTCTCCTCCTTTGGGTACACCGGCACATGTTGTTGGACATGGACTCTTCGGACCAAGATGTGGTAAAGACTTAACTAATCTTTCGTATGTTGTGCTTCCATAATCTTGCATGGGTTTCTTTGCACACCCTGAATCTACATTCTCTGGTCTGCTAACATGTGCCAAATAACCTTAAAGAAAGAAAAGATCCTATCTATTCTTACGTGTTAGTTAACATTTTTGTTTTGTTATTAGGGCTTTCTCCTTCTATTTGTTCCGGAGTTGTAGCAAAGGTAGTTCACGCAAAGATGAGATTGAATACGCAATCCATTCTGCAAGATGCCACAGCGTTCCCCGCGATGCTCGAAACAACGGCTGCTGTGCATCCAGGTGGTAGTGGTGGTGCTGTTGTCAATTCAAGTGGCCATATGATTGGACTTGTTACCAGGTAATATAAAATCATTCTCAAATACAATTTCTAGGTCTGTTAGATCCAAACCTGAGATGATGGGTCATTAGAAAACAGACAAAGCTTATACAGCATGAGAGAGTCTTCTTTAATCTGAAATTGTGGTTATCTTTCATTGCTCTGCTTGCAGCAGAATTTTATGATAGATCTTAGATGCTAATCATGCTTATCTCTAAAGTAGTCTCCTCTTGTTTCAAAGATAAAAACATCTTCTTTTCTCTTTTGTATATGCAGCAACGCAAGACATGGAGCGGGGACAGTTATACCGCATCTCAACTTCAGCATCCCATGTGCAGTCTTGGCACCAATCTTCAAGTTTGCAGAAGGTTAGTCTAAATCTTTTCATGGATGTAGAATAGAGAGTAGTAGATAGGTCAAAAAGTTATTACTTTTAATTGTTTCCGTCTTAAAACAGATATGCAAAACATGGAGATCCTTCAAACACTTGATCAACCAAACGAAGAACTCTCATCGATATGGGCTTTGATGCCATCACTGTCACCAAAGCCTAACCCTAAGACTGAGCAGTCTCTACCCAATCTGCCTAAGTTACTCAAAGATGGTAATAACAAACAGAAGAAAGGATCTCAGTTCGCCAAGTTCATCGCAGAGACTCAAGACATGTTTATAAAGCCGACCAAGCTTTCACGCGACGTGATCCCTAGCAAGTTATGACAAGATATACTTCCTTTGCAGAGTTTGTGTCTTCTTCGTTTTCTCCTTTTGCTGGAGTAGCAACTATAACTTGTGTATAGACTATAGAGATTACAATGTGTTGCTGTTGTTTCTGGATTCTTCAGCTTGTACCATATTTATACACTTAGCATACGTTGACAACTGTATATCATCAATCTTGATACTGTGTTTCTGTTTTTCTTTCTTACCATTTTAGCTCTCCGTCTCCTTATATGTTTAGCTTGTAAGCTACTCGATGATCTTGGCTTGCTTCAGACAAATCTTGTCCAAGAACTGCTAACACATTATTGGTCGTCCATGTTTTTATGCCATATATATCAATACTACTATATTATACAATATTTCATCATGATGTGCAAAGCCAAAAGAAGAGAGCGAGCCTCTTGCAGATAAAGTGATGAACATTAGTACTTTCTCTAGAGACTTGCAAAAGCAAGCGAGTCTCTAATTGCATCAGCTTTCGCTAGAGACTTGACTAAATCTGAATTTGAACCGAAACCAAAACAGTATAAACTTTATTCATAGTTGATTTGGTTTTTAACATTGGTAAGACCTATTGCAAAACACTATAACAAACTTTTGGATTGAAGACATGTAGCATGTTCTCTTCGAAATGCCTTTGAGGGGCATGATGGAAGCTCTCATACCACGTGACGCTGTCCGATTCGTTTCTCAATGGGTTGATTTTTTCTATCATAGAATATGTTTACATATAGAAAATATAAAAGATACTTTATGCAATATGTTTTTTTTTCCATAATAATAGTTTACAGCAAACCCATAATGATCGAACAAAGAGTATAAGACGATTATATATATGCGAGGAAAACGCACTCGATCAGATTATTTAGAAAAACAAATGTTCATAAAATAGACTATTATAATTTAGAAATGAAGATATTTAAAGGTAATTGTTTTATTTAGTTAATTTTGAGTTAAAAACTCACAATTCCTAAAATAATATCAAAACTATGTTGACTCAGATTTTTTTTTGCGTATGTGGCAAGTCGTTTGGGGATAATAGAGGAGGAAATAATTTTGCGTATGTTACGTTTGAGTAAACCCGTTAATTTTTTTTGTATGATACTAATTTTGCAAGCGAGACAAATGTTAGTTACTTTTGCTCTTGAACCCAGAGTCAAGGATGCTTCTGCGTTTCTATGGAGTCCTAAAGGTGTCTATGGGAGGAATGAAAGGAGTAACGATGAACCGATGAAGTGAAGAAGTATGAGAGGAGTGACGATGAAGTGAAGAAGTAACTGTCTTGAGGTCTTTCTATGGTTTTGTGTCTAGATCTCTATTGAGGTTATTGCCAGAAAAATTAAGAGATTAAAAGCACAAAAAAAGAGGGTCATAAAAAAAATACTATGTTAATTCAATAAATAGATTTTCTAAGTTTTTTTTTTTATCAACAAATAAATTTTCATGTTATAGTGGTACTTCACTAGAATAGTTTTGACTTTTATCTTTATTCGAAAAGGCCAGTTAAAAAAATATCACAAACTGAAAATATATGTAAAATATATAGAAGGTACATGAATTATCTTTTAAATGTCAATTATTTTTGAAAATTAAATCTAAATCTAAAGAATAATCTTCATTAATTGACAACTGTGAACACCTTAAAACCATAAAAACTAATCGTTTCATATGTTTTGAAGATTAATTAGTCTGAATTTGTCCCGGCAATGTTCAAAAAAAAAAAAAATCATTTATAACGAGCAACGAATGACAGCGATCAACATTAGCAATAGGCTACGCGTATTCGTTGTCAACTTGTCATTTGATCGTTTTCGTATCTATATCTTTTCTTTTAATCCGTTTTACTTTTTCTTTAATTTGCTACCAATTAATTTGTAGATTTGTGTTTAGGTACTTACCAACAAAAAATGTTACTATGCAAGTTCTCTCTTGACCATTATTCTACGTACGTATTTTGTTAGTTTGCTTTTTAGATGTTTTTTTTTTCTTTTGTAACTTGCGGTTGTTTGAAAGTTTATGAAAAGTTTCCTCCCTTTTTTATATATTAAAAATAATTTCCTTCTTTGTTTAATCTTATAACAATCTAAAACTATGCACAACATCATTCCTTTCTTTGTCTTTGTATCCGCAAGTTCTTGGATAGAAACAAAACTAAACATTCTTTTTCTTTTTTTGGCATAATAACTGAATATGCTTACTTTTAATATTGATTGCGATGCAAAAGAATCGAAAATCAACTGCCAATCAAACTGTGAGAACACACTGTCGTAGAAAACAACAAAAAATGAAAAAGTATATATTTTAATAGGAATAAGCTCCTTTGGCAAAAGCAAATATTTCTTGACAAAAGTAACATCGAAATTCGATAAAATAGAACGAAATTCAGGAGAATGGAAAATAAATTAAGTATCTGACAAAAAATGAAATCTTAATAATACTAATAAAGACGAGAATTTTTGAAATAATAATAACTTAAACAGAGAAGAGAATTTAGGGGAGAAGAGAAAATCCCTTGAAGTTCTACAAAATTCGTTAGTTTCCCTATGCTAATGCTTTTGCTTTTCTTTTTCCAATCTGCCTCCCACATGCATCATCGTAAATAATAGTACATATTGTTACACATACGTACATGCATACACACAGAGATATGCACTAAAGTATTTATATGTGGAGCCTGTACGTAGACTCTTTCGGAAAATTAGTACTTATCTAAGAAGTTAGTTATTTCGTATTGATCTGTTAGTGAATATAGTAGTATTGGCAAAAAAAAAGAGATCGAGGACAATTAGAAGAAGAAATATATGTGATTGCATATTTTTTTTTTAAAAAGGAGTTTCATGTAAATTTTCCTTTCTAAGACTATTAACTTTTTGTTGTTCCTATCTTCTCAATACAAAAATCTGCAATTGTAATATGGTTTACCATTAAGCATACTGGTTGTAAATGACACGGCTAAATGCAGCACCATTTACAAAAAAATGTTACATATACGGTGTAATGTATACTGTTAGAATATATAAACCGTACTTTCAATCACATTTTAGAAAACAGTTGGTTTTAGATTCACAACTATAACCAAATAAAGTGCGGTTGTAATGAGGTTAACAAATTGACAAAAAAAAAACATCATTGAAAAAAACCCATAGGAAATATATATGAATGATCGCAATAGTTATGTTATAACTTGTAAATGAAATGAAAAAAATAGCAAACAAATGTAGTAAGATGTGATATGTTTTTGTTTCGATACATAGACCTTAGATCTAATTATATTATTTTATTAGAAAAAAGTAAAGTAAAGCAAAGATAATGTAAGGAAAGAGACGAGGGAGAATAAAGTAAAGATTGGAAATGTGAACCCATTTGGAGTTGGCAGTGAGTGAGATGGAACATCACATGCACTTATGCTCTCTTTTGTCCCTTTCCTCTTGGAGCTTTCACTTCTCGAAAACCTTATCAATTTGATTTCCTTGCAACTCTAATAATCTAACCTCATTTCTATTTTAATTCTGAAAATTATGATTTTTTTTCCTATTCATGACTTAATAATGATGTGATAATTTGATTGATCATGCTTATAGATTCAATTCTGTTTGGACAATAGTGGCAATTTCATACATTTTTGCATGATTGTTTCCACGACAATCGTAGTCACCAGTAACGCGATTTCATTTTTTGACGTCAATCAATATGAAAAAAACTCCTATATACTATAACCATTTGATTTTAACTAGATATTTTGATTCTAAAAGAACTATAGTATATCTTTACTTCTTTTAATTAGATTGTGTATTTCGCTATCATTCGCCAATGTATTAATTATCTCTAAACATTCTCCAGCTAACTAAAATATTGCAAGCAATCTCTTGAATTATTACTAACATCTCAAAAGGTGCAACTAGTATTATTATAGGGAGAGAATGATAGAATATTCAAACCGACGCGTATAAACTATAGTGAGTTTGTGTGATAGATGCGTATATAATATGATTGTTGGAATTTGTATAAATTAAAAAAAAAAAAGAGAGTTGGAAGTGGGATTAATAGGGTGATGTGGGTCTAGGGATTCACTCCAATTCCACAATATGCAAAAGAATGTCACTTATCGTGATGAGTGATGTTCCTCGATCCCTCTGAAAGATTCACCTGTTACATTCTCCTTTATTGTCTCTATCTTTTTCTTCTTATATTTTCAATATAATATATATATATATACGTACTTTAGTTTAATGTAAGTTAACCGATTACGGATATAGATTTAGTCTGTCAAGCTGACCCACCTTGTTAAGCTGAAATTAGGGTTGCGCAGAAGACAACATTTCCGTAAATTTTGAAATATTTACTCTTTCCTTTGATTCGTACAAATATTAAACTTGACCTTTATATTTTTTCTTTTCTTTTTGAACGTAACTTAACATTTATATTTCACCCACTTAACAATTTAGAACATGCATGTAGTCAAATAGTTTATGGTAATAATATCGTTGCATCACACCCAAATTCAAACCTCTACATAATACTTATAGTGGTTAATTATAAAAAGAAATGATGAAATAACCAGATAACAAAAGTCCCAAGATCAAGTACTTGCAAGACTTGGAACTTTTTTTTCGTTCAAAGGTTAAATCCCATCCGGGTTGAAGCTTTATTTTAACTTCTGCATGTATATGTAAATATTACACAAATGATTGTATTTTGTTTTGGACGACACAACGTTTTGTCATCTGCCTTGACAATTCAGAAATAATTTTGTTCATAAGAAAGGATACAGGCAAAACCGATAGCAAATACTCCTACTATTTTCACTAATTCAGTGTGCCAATAGCTGCAGTATTGAAAGTATCAATCATAATTTTCTTTGCTAAATTACCACTGATTTGTGTTTATTGTCACATTTCACAAGTCTCGGGTGCAAATGAAGGAAGCAAAATCTTTAAATTTGTTTGCACTTTCGATATCCATAGCTTAAATCACAGTGCTACATAAACGAAGTTTGCCTACTCTTCAATCCACTAAGTGAGTAACCAATGAAACAAATTTCTAAGGCAATTAGAATCAACCTTATTCAAGTCACCACTCTAGAACTTGGCTCTACCATCATTGGATGTCAATATAAAGATGATGAGATTTTGATTCAACGTACGGCTCGTCGTTATTTGTCTTAACAATACTACAATTTTAAAGGATACTTTTGTTTTGGTTATAAATTTTGTACCATGCATATGTTGATTTGTGGAGTCTAATCTATCGAACTCATTGTTTGACCCGATAGTCGAGTAAGGCGATGATTGATCTGCTCATCTGAGCGATTAATAAATTTTTTTTGTCAGGCGAAGAAAGAAAAAAGACTTGGAAATTTCGAAAATCAATTATAGTTAAATTTGCAGTGAAAGAAAGTGAACGTAACTAAAAGTGAACCATAATAAATTTAGTGTGCAATTATTTGAGTTATATGGGGGTATCATTTTTTTCATGATCCGATTTGGGATCCAAAATTCTAACATATCTACCGTAGCTAACCTATTTGAACCATTGAACTAATATATGGTTTTCTTTGGCTGTCAAAAAAAAAAAAAATTATAAACTCCACTAAACTTTGAACGTTTCTGCCATTTCATGCTGTTTTACAGATTCTAACATCATAATATGTTTTATAAAAAAAACATCAGAATATATTTGGAAAAAAACACCACACTGGTATTAAGTGACAATCAAAACTCACGCAAACGGGCAGTACAACCGGTTTACCGGTGGAGGCGATGCCAACTTGCCAAGTTGGACATATACGGTGGAGACCATAAGATACCCAAACACGACGTTACAATCCTGCGTAGAGAGGATCCGAAATTCAGTAACAAGTGGCGGATCAAATAGGCGTACTATATTAGCATGATGATTAACAATTTTGTTTTGGTATTTCTGTTTTAATTGATTCAAACTATTTTTTTTGAAGTTATTATATATATTTTTTTCACTGGAATTATTAAGGATTAAATATTAATATCTAAAGGGTGTGTATAAAATATATCTCACATCCGAAGTTAGAAGACACTTTAACTAATATGTAAATAATTTAGACTAATTAATTTTAGATTATGAACTCTGGAAACTTAACATAATTTTTACACGATGGCTGTAGATTTTAACGCCTAAACAAATAGTCACTTTGATCTTGTATTTTAAGTTTTTAAATAAATTTTTTATTAAAAGTCGGTCAATCAAACTGATGTATTTTTCCACAGAAACGTGATGTAACTTATTGGTTTTTATCATATAAATTAGTTAAGTAAAGCAACTATAAGGACCATTTTAGTACAAATGCATCTTGAATATCTCTCTGCAGCAAATCTTATTAAAAATACTAGCTTTATGTTAAGTACAACTAGAGAAAACCCTAGTGACATTATATAAAATAGTTAATGAATAGTGTGGCACAAATAACAATATTACAAATAATGTAAAATAATGAGCTTAATAAAAAAAACATCTGGCAAAGAATCTTTGTGCTTCAATCTTTGAAAGTTGAAACAGTAATAATAGCTTCAGTAGCCAACAGCTCTTTGTCTGTACACTGCTGGTTTCAAAAGGATTCTCTTTTAAAGAAGTGGAGAAACAAAGAAAGAAAACAAAATCAAAAGAGCTTAATCAAGAAAGATATGTTTGGCAATTGTGACCAGAAGAAGAAGATGCCTATCATCAGTTCTCCCAACACCAGTCCACTGGTCTCTCTCTCTCTCCCCTTTTAATTTCTCTCTCTAATTAATAATATGACCCAATTATTTTTTGTTTCTTAGCTTTTGGATCCGAATAATATCCTCTTGTCTTCTCTTTGTTCTCTTGCCTTTAGTTAAACCACACGATCTAAGAATCCTCTCTCCCTCTCTCTTTCTCCCTCTCTTCTCAGGCGAGTATGCAGAGCAAGAACATGATAGTGGCTTCGTCTCATCAGCAGCAGCAACACCAGCAACCTCAGCAACCGCAACCACAACTTAAATGCCCTCGGTGCGATTCCTCGAACACAAAGTTTTGTTACTACAATAACTACAGCCTCTCTCAGCCGCGGCACTTTTGCAAGGCTTGCAAGAGGTACTGGACGCGAGGTGGGACCCTACGGAACGTTCCCGTTGGCGGTAGCTACCGGAAGAATAAACGGGTGAAGCGGCCAGCAACCGCAACCGCAGCTGCCTCCACGGCCTCGACAACGACTTCTTCATCCCCTAATAATCCTCATCAGATCTCCCATTTCTCTTCCATGAATCACCATCCCTTGTTCTATGGTTTATCAGATCATATGAGCAGCCGTAATAATCTTCCAATGATTCCGAGCCGTTTCAGTGATTCGTCAAAGACTTCATCAAGTGGTTTAGAGAGCGAGTTTCTCTCATCTGGTTTTAGTGGCCTTAGTGCTTTTGGATTAGGGCTTCCACATCATATGAGTCATGACCACGCCATCAGCGGTAGCTTCATCAACAACTCTACAACAAGCAAACCCTTTCTTCTCTCGGGTATATTCGGGTCTTCGATGTCTTCTTCTTCCTCTACTCTTCTCCAGCATCCTCACAAGCCCATGAACAATGGTGGTGAGATGCTGGGGCAATCTCATCTCCAAACCCTAGCATCACTTCAAGATCTGCATGTTGGAGGTAATAATGAAGATACGAACAAAGAAGGGAAGCTTGATCAGATCTCAGGGAACATTAATGGCTTCATGTCATCATCATCTTTAGATCCTTCAAACTACAACAACATATGGAATAATGCAAGTGTTGTCAATGGAGCATGGCTTGATCCAACAAATAGTAACGTTGGATCTTCCCTCACCTCCTTGATATAAACCAGAACTTTGGTTATAGCTAGGATCTATAACTAGCTAGGGTTTATCATCATCACTTTTTTTTTTCTTTGTGTTTTGAGATGAGAGAAGAAGCTTGGATCAGAGAGATCAAATCAGGGGCAATGTTTATCTTGGCCACTATAAAGCTCCCTCGGATCCTCTTCATCTCACCATCTCCATCACCTTCCTTCGCGTTGTTCAAGAAAAACAAAAGAGGCTCAAGATTGGTTCAAGGTTTACTATGTTCTACTGTTAAGTTCACTCAAGGTAAATTATATGTGTATGTACATAATATGGTCCTGACTTTCATCATCTTTTTTTTCCATCAATGTAATTCTAAGGTCCACCACATGGGTTGGTGTTTCTTTTCATTGGGATTAGGAGGGTATATTTGGCTTAATTTGGGTTTCTCATGGGGTACGAGAACTCGATAGCTTTCAAGTTTTATATATTTTTTAGTTTCACATTTCTTCTTTGGTGTGGCTATCATTGGGTATACAAACAGTGGGAGGGGTGTGCTTGTGTTGTTATAACTTCGGCTATTCATGTATGAGTTATGTTATTACGGTTCTTAATTTTTGATACATGTCTAAGTATATATTATATATACATATTATAATCACGATAGATACGGGACGAAAGTACATGTAGATGACTTGAATTGGCCTGTTAAAAAGAAAATGTCCTTTAGCTAATGCAAAATGGGAGAGACTCATGAATACGAGTAAGTTCGCAGAAACTATGAAAACAATTATTATTGACACATATATATATATACTTTGACCGACAAAGCGAACAAACACGGTTAGATATCTATATAACATATATTGCTCGTAGTTAAGTTATATTGATGATTTTGTTCTCTAGCATTTTGGATACAAACCTACAACTCATGGTTCCATGTATGTTATAAGCGAGCTATATATATATGAACACAAGTTTTGGTCCAGACTTGGAGTTTAGCGAGGTGTCATTGTAAAGTGGGCACGAGTTCGTTACCAGTTTCCTCGTGTCATTTTCTCTACCGTGATTCTTTTCGTGCAAGACTTGGAAAATTATTTATCGTTAAACATTTGGGTCTATATTATTTGGACGCATGGATGTTTATCCTTTTTGTGATGATTTGCGGATCAATTTCAATTATCACAATGATTGCATAGAATGTCTTGATTTTTCTCCTCAATATTCTCTCGTTGGTCTTCCTAGCATTTATGGAAACACTAGTGTAACAAGCGGTTCCACGCATTATGCCTCGAAGCTCATAGAGAGCATCAGACGATAGCTCATGCAATTTGACCTGATTATTTTTAGCGATCTGCATCTACGTTTAATTGTTAAATATTACTACTATGTTCTACAATATATTTTCAATCTTATAACAAATCTAAAAGCGAATTTTTGTTTTAGCACAACATATAAATGATGTTTGATGAAAATATAGGACATGCGTCATATGCATGTACTGTGGAAACGTTAAACCACAATATTTAGATCGGAGAGGTATAACGTGAAAAAGCAAGAACTTAGAGAATGTACTTAACACAGAGATTTTTAAACATTTCCTCAATTAGATTTATCCCAAAGGTAATTTACAATTTTAAAGAACTTACAAGTATCTCTCTCAAAGAAAATCTAATCTCCACCATTTGATTTTATTTACAAGAAAACCCTACAACCCTTTTAACTGGTTTCTTTTTCTCTTGCAGGTTTCAGCTCCACATTTCTTTGGCAAAATATTGCATTTTCAATCTTCCCCTTTTAAACTCATTTTGAGTCTAAATGAATTAAAATGAATTAAATTTTTTTTTTTCAAACTCCAAGACCTCTTCAAACGGCAAAAGCATATAAAAAATTTGTGTTGGCAAATGATTGGGCCCAAAAAAATTGACTGAAGCCAAGCCCAACTTTTGCTTCCTTTCTCTTTGCTTTCACGATGAAGAACACAATCGTATCACAGCTTTGATGAAATCAACACCACCCAGAAGCAGTTCCGATCAAAAATCTCAGTGAGATCCCGGCGAGATTTCTTTTGCCGCCGACCAGAGCTGCCTTCTCCTTCAGATTCTTCACAGCTCCTCTTAGGCTCTCGATTTCTTCTAAAGTTTCAGATTCTACTGATGAGAAAGAGTCTCCACCTTGAGTTGATGTATTTTCTGTTTCAAAAGCCATTACCGCAGAAACGATATCAATCTCTAATTCTTCTTCATCCTCAGAGTCGAATTCAGGAATTAAATCCCATATTATGTCTTTCTCTTTTTCTTCTGACACATTTTCCAAACTGATGCAGGCGCAATCTTCAGTTACGATTGCAGGTGATTGTCTTTCCTGCAACGATAGGAGTGTTCATAGAGATCTTTTGATTTTACACAGAACTGGTTACCCAATAGCAATTTCGAGAATAATTGGAATTGATAAAAATTGTTTCGACACAAAATGGTTAATATTGAAAAAGAGAATTTTATAGTTTTTATTTGCATTTCAAATCAAGTTTTGAGTTATTTTTGCAATATTCACATAACTATAACCATAAATTAATATAAATAATTATCTTTGTAAAAAAGAAAAAAACAGTCAAAAACATTTAATAAAAAATATTTTTCAAAATATAATAAAATTTTACTAATAAAACTGCATATAAAAGCATAAATTGGTTTTCATAGCCATTTGAATATTATCAATGAGGATTGATTAAGAGTCTATTTATTTATAAAATACAATATATATTTGTAATGATTTTGGTACACATAAATAATTATAGGATAATGTTTACAATTATTAATAATTACATCAATTTAAATAATTGTACTACAAAAATTGAGAATCAAATAAAATTTGAAACATCCTTGTAAATTTAAAATTTGTATAAAGCCATCTAGTAATAAATAAAATGTATTATATAATAATAAAAATACATGATAAAATCAGAAAAAAATATCTGTTATGTGAAACTTAAAAACCACCTGTTTTTTGTTCATTTATTTTCATTTCCAATATAAAAAATTTAAATATATTTTTACTTATTAATCATCCGAGTAATTTATATTTATTTTTGAAAAATGAATTATAACACATGTACAAGAAAACAATCTATATATATATTACTGTATGGATGATGTGATGATTTATTAGTTCACAAAAATAATTTTTAACAAAAAATAAGAGAGAAAAATATAGTGTTTAAATAAATAATTAATATGATATATTTTTAGTAATAAAAATATCTTAATTTATTAAATGCTGAATTATGTACAAATAATTGATACAAACTAATATGTAACCAAATTAATATAAATGACATAACATGTGATTAATATAGTAACATAAGTCCATATTTATATATTTGCTGAAAATGATTCTGGTGATAACACATCAAAAAAATGACACCATTGAAATAATTGACAAAATTAAAGTTATTCTTTAAAAATATTTCTCAATTAATATATAGAGAATATTTACAAATCCCATGACAAACTATGTGGAAATTTACATAAATAATTTAGTTGGTGAAAAAACATGTGACTGTGAATTTTTGATAGTTCGAAGATTTTATTTTATTTTTATCACTTTACGTATAAATTTTTATTATTATTAAAGAGTATTCTATTAAAATTACTCTATGTATACTTCTTAGCATGTTTATATTGTTTACAAAGTATCGTACTGATCTTTAATCACCAAGCAAGTCGAGTGATCATGAATCTTTGTGACTGCATATTGTAAAGCTAAAATTCTAGCAAAACGAGCGAAATCTATATTTTATTTTTATGCCTCGACATTTTTATAAGTTAAATTTATGGAAAAAAATATGAGATTCATCTATGACATTGAGAGAACGAATGTATACACAATCTTTTAGTCTTGGTACTTGTTTTGGGATTAAAACTAGTAAAATATAATTTTAATGAACCTATAACAAAAAAAATTGTGTAAAGAAATTAAGAATGATATGATCCTGATTGAAAAATAGACATGCATCAATTTGAAGAACTAATAGTTTACTTTTATAACAAGTTCAATAAAGATAATGCATACAGATTTTTACTATAAGAATAATATGGTATTGATAAATAGAAACAAGCTATATTAAAAAAAATTAAAATATTAAAAGGTATTGTTAATATTCTTTATATTATTTGAGAAATATTGATTAAAAAATAACATTAGCATCATATGTTATTTACTAAATAATAATAATACTGTGTCGTCACTAAAAGGCTTCTCAATACATATCTAAAAAATAATCTAATTAACTAGAATTTTTTTTACTGTAAAAAACAAAACTAGAATATTTACAATTCATACTACTCGCCTTAGTTTATTTGAAAACTAATTTATTTATAATTCATCATTTCATTTAGAGTTATTTACCTAGAATAATCTTACTAAATAAGATATTGACTAGAATAGCATCCTTCTACAACTGACTAACTGAAATAACCTTACAAAGTTGTACAAAGACATCAAAATTCAAATTTTAGATATAATAACGAAAATGCCATTTTGATAATAAAAATAACCAAAAAGAATAAAATTGATAAAAAAAAGATATCTGGAAAAAAAAAACAAAAACAACAAAACCAAAAAAAAAAACTAGCTCGCGAGGGCGAAGGGCGATTAAGAATTTATGATAGCCTGATTTGAAGAAATTGACACAATCTTCAGTGGCGTTAGGGGCGGGGGATCTGACTTAAACTCTGACGGTGAAGAATTAGTGGGAAGATCCAATTACGGCGTCGAAGTAGCACCAACGGCGGAGCAAAGGTAGAGCTCCCGAGGCTTCTCGAACTTGCAACGGCATCGTATCCGGTTACCAACGGAGGTACCTCCTTTTGAGTACGTACTCTCACCTCTGATTGGACTCGATTTGTAGATCTAGGATTTTTGTTGTGGGAGTACCGAATTTTGAATTTGCTGATAAAGTTTTTCTTTATTTGCAGGACGACGACGACGGACTCCGGTTTGCAAAAGTGAACCACGAAATATATTTGTTGAATTTGTTGTCTATTGGTGGTAGACTTGAGGATAAGGATTTGTTTTTTGGTGGTAGACTTGTTTTGTGATGGTTTGTTGGTAGACTTCTTAGCTCAGTGGTAGTAGACTTATTTTCTCTAAGATAGTAGACTTGTTTTTTTTATGGTAAATGTGTTGGTAGACATGATGGTTCAGACGTTTGTTGGTAGACTTCTTAGCTCAGTGGTGGTAGACTTATTTTCTCTATGATTGTAGACTTGTTTTTTTATTGTAAACGTGTTGGTAGACTTGATGGTTCAGACGTTTGTTGGTAGACTTATTTGCTCTGTGATGGTAGACTTGTTTCTCTGTGTTGGTAGAGTTGTTTATGAGATATGTGTTTACTTTTACAGCTTAGTAGATGGCGTCTTCAACCGCAAAGAGTGGGGAGAAGCAGAAATACCCACCCCGATTGTTTCTCCCAGGGAAATCTCATGTTCAGAAGAGGAGTTTGAACAACTATTGTCATCTGGCGGATTTTGGGATGTTGAAGGAGGTTGTTGGTGAGGATGTCTACAATAACATAAGGAACAGTTCTCAAGTAGGAGTGGTATTGAGTCTTGTAGAGAAGAAGTCCGTATGGGCAGCAAAAATGGTCCATAACTTAGT